ACACTGGGGGAACCCACAGTGACTGACTACTCTGTTTTTACACTTCAGGTAATAAAGAATTTGCTTTTTGTGGCAAAAGTTGTTTACTTGCTAGCCCCTGCCTTAGAAGAAGGTAAAGAGGCCGAAGGAGAACTTGGCTGTGAAGTGGAAGGGCAGGAGGCCTCAGAAGATGAGGAAGAGAAAGACATTTCTGCTCAAGGAGAGGGAGGAAGAGAGGACACAGAAGAGAGAAGCCAGCCAGCCACATTGCTATGGTTAATGAAGAAGCTCTCTCTCATGGCAAAGCGAGAAGCAGCATATTCCCCTAAGGTCCCTTTAAAGGTAGGAACAGGGTTAGACCAACTGCTTTTGATGTGGTAGGCACTTGCACAGGAGAGTGTTGCTCTGGCTCTTTGCTTCCAGGGGACCAGCTGTAGAGGGTGCTGGGGGCTGGTGCTGAAGCGAGGATTAGTAGGTGCCAAAGAAACAGCAAGCATTTCAGTTCGGGATTCTTAGGAAAGGCTTGTGCCAGTGTGCTTCTCCTTGCTGTTGCTTCCAGCCCTCGTGTGGGGTGGTGGGAGGGTGGGAAGGCCAAAGGCACCAAACTGAAGGGGGCAGAGCACTGCCTTTGAAAGCCCAAGAGTGCTAGGTTTATGCGGGTGGGGGAATGGCAGTGTGGAGTTACTTGCTAGGAGAAGGGGAGGGTGTGGGAGAGCTTCAGGAAAAGCACTGTGGTTCCCCGTGGTGTGGAGTTACAGAGGCTGAGCTTTCATGTCTTCAGCTGCCTCAGGACAGTGAGAACAAGCCTGTCGTTCAAAGTGTTACCAGCTGCTGACCTGGTGAAGTCACAGCTCACACATTTACAGATCCCATGAGGTTGTGTCTCATCTAAAGGCTGTACTTGGCTGCAGTAAGACCTTGTAACAGCAGTGAGTTTCTGACTAGCGTGTCTGAAACAAAGCCTTGTACGCTGAACGGTGATGCACAGCCCTCTTGCAGCAGTTCAGTTCGGCAGTTGCCTTCCAACCTTCCTTACTTCGTGTCCCAAACGCTCATTTTCAGAGAAGCTGCATCTTTAAGTTCCTGGGAGCAATCTCAGTGGATCTGGGGAAAGACAGGATCAAGCCGTACCTTCCAACAATTCTCACCCCTCTGTACAGGGAGCTGAACAGCACCTATGCAGAGCAAGGTAAGTGATTTCCCTCACAAAGACTAGCAAAGAGGTGTGTGTGTCGGAGCTGTGCCTTGGCACAAACACCGCCTGTCACTCCTTTTGTCTGTTGAGGCATAGATGCCATAATCGGTGAATTTCACCTACTTGCAGTCTAACCAAAATACCAGGAAAGGAGGAAAGTGTTTGACAGCTGGAACAAAAATCTACATGTTGACAAAAAAAAGACTGGACTAAAGTTAGGCAGGCTCCTACATACAAGTGGGTAAAGCTTGAGCATGTGATGTAGCAGAAAAAGTGTAGTAATGAAGGGTGGACTCATGGTGGCAAGACTCATGGAGTCCTTGCTCAGGAGAGGAACAGAGTGTGGGTGTTCAGGAAGCCAGAACAAGGCTGTTGCTAAGTGCCGTTCTTTTTGAATTGCCATGTTAGATCTGCTGTGAGGCTTAGGGGCATGAAGATCCATGCCCTATGGTTAAAAGTGTGTTTCAGTTTTAATGTAAAACAGGGGCAGCTTGTGTTACTGTAGAGCAAGGGACTGTACAAGTTGGAATTGCCAGTTTGGCGATTGCTTGATGTTTTCCCCAAGCTCCCCCTTTTGAAATAGAGAAAATGACCTTTAATGTGTGCCACGTATGCACAGTGGCTGAAAGAAAGTAACCTTTGCAGGCAGGGGAAGAGAGCTGTCTGCTAGGGGAATGCAGCACACGGTGTGTGCAGGCAGGTGTGCACCTATTAAACTGTGCACAGAACGTTTCCCTTCCTCCTGAATGAGTCCAGGTCACTCTGACCTGCTAGATACTACCTGAGCAGCAACACTTGTTTCTCCCTGGAGATTCATGTTTGTTTAAAAGATCTTAAGTCATGCCGGGTGGGGGAAAGACAAACCAACTTCCCATTTAACACAAGAGACTCTTGGCTTAAGAACAAGACACTGGTGTTTAGATAGTTCATGAAAATGTGTTAAGTCAAGCAAAATCCGGTGTCAGGGAAAGAACAGGCAACAAACCGAAAGAGTTCTCTTACTGTAAATCTGCGGTTTGTATATGCCATGAAAATTCAGTGTTCAGCACTGGGTCCCCACATCTCAAAGGATACAAAAGAACTGAAAAAACTTGGGGGAGGTCAGTAACAGTGTTCTAGGTAAGGAACAGCTGCCTTGGCTACCATTTTTTCTTAGCTAAGCAAGTAAGAGACTTGGAAAAGATATGGTAGAGATTGACAGTATCGTGAGTGGATAAAGATCAGCTTTTTGCTTTCTCTGCCAGCACAGGAACCAGGGGCCTTCAAATGATTTTTCAGAGTAACTGCAGAGATGTTTTTTCACATGATAGGGGGTGTAGACCCAGGGAACTTGTCACTGAAGGATGTTGTGGAGGCAAGCAGCTTACACAAGCTTCTCTGGAGGCCATACAAGCACTTGGAAGAGGGATCTGTTGGAAGACTGAGGGGAACATTTGCCCTGCTCTCAGTTTTCCCTTAGCATCTCTTTTGTAGCCTTCCTCCCCAGTAGCTTTTTTCCCAGTGATTGTAGTTAACACATTGTAACTAACTAGTGATCCTAACCATTAAGGCGAGCCCTTACTACGCGCACAGGACAGATGCTGGCTGACAAGGCTGGAATCATCTCTATTTTCAACCAAGCCTATTTCAAAAGAGCCCTGGTGGCACTTTTAATAACCTCTGGGATGCCATTATCCTTCTGAAAAAATTTTTTGCTTCTCCAGAAGCATTATTTTTTTGTTTGCCTGTGTGAAGAGCCACTTGGGGTCCTCTGGGAAAGCTGGTGAAGAACCAGCAGATTCCACAAGCGCCTTTGCTCTGGTCTCTACAGTGTATTGGGCAAGATGAATCAGTACAGTTGTCCTCTAGTAAAGAAAGAGGAATCCTTACTGGGCTCTTGGCTTTCATTCCGTATGCTGAAAAGGTTAAGCAAGTTAATTTCGTTTCATTAGATCCAACACTGAAGAACCTTTCGCAAGAAATCATAGAACTGCTCAAGAAGTTAGTTGGACTGGAGGCTTTTTCGCTTGCCTTTTCGTCTGTGCAGAAACAGGCCAATCAGAAGAGAGCGATGAGGAAAAAGCAGAGGGCTTTGCAGGTAAGATTCTGCTTTCTCTTCTGGAAAAAAGAAATAGGGTTTCTCTGAAGGCTTGAGAGCTGACCAGGAAGGTGAGTTTGAGGAAGAACTTCATCCTGAATTGGGACAGTTTCATTGTTTCGTTTCTGAAACTTCACAAGAAACTGTGTAAGATCAGCCTCTTGGGCAGGTTCTGGCTGACAGCGATGCTGTGCTTTCCCGCTTACCTGCAGAGCAGCGGTAAGCCTGGGCAGAGCAGCCGGAATACCCCCAGTTTGGAGGAGCCTAGGAAAACCCGCACGTTGTCTTACCAGTCACCAGTTTCTTAGGAAGTACCTGATGTTTACAGGGACAGTTGTTAGTTGTAACTAAACAAATGTCTTGTTTTTCACTAGACTGTAGCAAACCCCGACATTGCTGCAAGGAGGAAGCTGAAGAGACATAAGAATAAAGCGGAAACCAGGAAGAGAAAAATAGAATTCCTGCGCCCTACCTACAAGGCCAAGAGACCTCGAAGTCATGCTCTGAAAGATCTAGCAATGGTGGAATGAAAAGGCTTTTCCTTCCTGGACGATTAATTTATAAAAAGTAATTTCAAGCTAAAGAACTAATTACTGTTTTTAAAAAAAAAAAAAGTATTTACATATTATTTTAATTGTATTTATTCATATTTTTTCATGTCCTTTTTTCATCTAGGATCTTAAATAAAAGCTTTTCAATTTTTTTCCAAACCTGTATATTTACCAGAGCATGTACAGTTGAATGGACAACGACCATGATTTTTTATATTAAATTTTACTTCATTTTTAAAAGAGGGGTTATGTGATGACTGCGTTCATGCCTGTGAACCTCCTAGCTCTTGGAGAGAAAACAATCCACCTCCCGACTTTGATTTGTCTTCAGTTTCTGCAGCTATACTGAGCAACATAACTGTCATTTCTGGCTAAGCTGAGAGTATGGGAATAACAGCTGACGAAGGTGGAAGTTAAATTCAAATTACGGCCCTGGCCCATCAGGGCAGGAGGTGGCTATTGAAGACATTTATTTTTCCTTTCAGAAAATCAATGCTACGTTAGCAGCTAGAGGTACAGTATTTATCTCTGTTGCTGTACTTTATTGTAACATCATATCTACACTGAAGGATTCTGAATAACATCAGCTTAAGGAAACGTCTTTAAATGTTCAGCTACGTGGCTGTTAGAACTGGCAGCAGTTGGACTTGCTTCTGTAAGCCAGCAGCCTCTAGCAAGCAACACGCCTATGAGTACAGCTGACAGTTCCAGATTTTATTAGTGTTTTAATTACACGAATATAGTAGCCACTCAAACTTAAAACCACCAAGGGGGGGGGGGGGGGGGGTGTGGAAAAAGCTCACGTGCATTTGGGATTAGGAAGCCCCAGATGCAGACAACTCTTTGAAGTTACAGTATTTGCCCTCAGCCTGCCCGTACATCAGGTACAGGTACACCAGTTACGGCCCTCAAAGGGTGGTCACAGACGGACATGCAGGTGACTGCTGGAAAGGCTCCGGAGGTCCTCCAGGGGACAATATCCTGCTGCCTCTCCCAGGAGGACACAACCGCCCTGTACACACAGTCCCAGCAAGCCGGGCTGGGAGCCGCTGCCCCTCTGCCCGCAACAAGGGAGCTGGGGGAGGCACCAG